TCTGGTCTATTCACCATGTCTGTACGTTAGAAACATGTTCACGTCACTCAGCACCTGCAGTGTTAACCATAGAAGAAAATGAACATCTATGTAGTATGTTCTAGAAAACATGGCACATGGCACATTGCTATATGGTAAATTGAGAAGCTATAGCTGTGCTAATTATGTAAAATTAAATGCTGGCTAATATTAAAAGTTACAATGCTGAGAATCTTGGCACCTGAAGGATGGAGGGAGAGGCTGGAAAAAGATTGTTTTTTAGAGATCAGGTTTGATTTCAGCATTCGGATATAAAGGTGATCATGGAAGACTTTAGATAGGTGTTTATGCGGGTGAAAGTATAAAGCTGAACCAGAGCTGTTGTCCCACAAGCATTGTTGGAACTGGTCTGTTATGATCAAATTTCTAGCACATAGGGTCTAATGGAACTTCAACATCTCAACATTCGTTATATTCTGTGGCAAATGGAAGCTAAATTGTAATTCATGGGTGTTGCCACAGAAGATCAAACATCAAAGCATGTTGCAGTTTTAGATTTAAGCATATAGATAATATAAAGAAATTAGCTTGCTAAAGTTTTGGTATTTGCAGTACTGTAGTTCTACATGTATGCTAAGGTGCTCCTGACCAAACTCTCCAGAAACTCTTGTCACTATTTGTTATGAAGGCACGAAGAACATGAAAGCTAACAATAAACCAGATGCTTGTCAGGTTAGGAAATGACCTTCTTGTTCAAACCTGTCTCTTTTTCAGAGTTCTGTATCATCTAATTGACTTCTTCAAAGGCTAGTGTGCAGCTGGTTTGGAATCACTGTTAGACAAGGCACCATCTCTCCATCTATTTGCCAACATGTCCCTTTATTCTGCCTAGAAAATTTATTTAGGTGAAATTTGAAGACTAGAAATTTGCAGAAACTCTGTGGATATTTGACAGCTCGAGTTATTCTCTAAATATGTGTAGATCTACCACTACACAAGGCGTACAGTAGATCACATCTATCGGGGAAGTGCTGAACCAATTGCATGTATATTGCCCAGATGGTCAGTGCGCGCATAGCTCATCCAGTGTAGTTCTGGATGCTTCAGACTTAATATGCATGGGCAGATCAACTGTGCATTGTGCAATTACACAGATGCAGCTGAATAACTTCAGACTTTTTCTGCGTGTGGTTTACAGATGGTCCATGCACACAGAGTATACTGAGTGTGCTCTGGAATTATCTGGCTTACAACAATGTATACTACAAGGTATATATGAATATATTTTGCCTGGGAAATCTCAGAAGAAACAGAATGATTCTATTCTCAAATGTTCTGACTACCTTATTTTCCAAAATTTGAAACATTTTGTCATTCAAACACAATTGGAGATGAAGAAGGAAAAAAAATCTCATTCACTCTAGAAGGAGAGTAGGAAATAACGTAGTAAGAAATCTATATTTTGTGTATTCTTATATTCTTTCCTCTGTTGAATTTCCAGTGCTATGTTAAAGAAAAAAAAGAAGTCAATTTGGATCGTGTAAGCAATCTGTAGTTATTCAATTAATATTTAATAAATCACTTGATAGAAATCAGAAGGATATCAGTTGATTAACTGGCCTGGTATCAATTGTTATCCAGCCCCTACACAGATAAGTGAGAATAAATTCATCGACTGTAATAAAGGAAATACAAACCTTTCAGTTAACCACTGTGATATGACAGATGAAAGTAATTTGGGATTAAGAACATATTGAATTCTGTATGTATTTAATATTGACTTTTAAATTTGTAGAAGACTTCTATTTGCAATTCTGAAGACTCTTATAATCATGGAAATGCATGAATAAAAGGAAAATGTATCTGGAATATCATCCTCTAATCTGTTAAGTAGGGGATAAAAAGTATTTAATCTCCATAAAGTCTCCTGAAATATTTTGTTAAGTACAGCCTACATAGATTTATATACATCTAAAGGTGTATATATGGCTAGCTCCATGTACATTTGACAGACCTGAGAACATTCTAGGACTGATTATAGAAAAATAATGTAATGTTCCTTTCTCCAGAACAAATACAGGTATTAGAAAAGCCCACGGCATTTGTTGTTTTTAAACTCAGTATGTAAACACAGTAGCTGAATCAAATGTTTTTGTAATGTAACTAATGGCTATGAAGCAGCTTGTTTCTGTGCACCGGCAGGCAAATCCTGCAGGCTTACCTCCTTGTTGTGCACGCCAGTTCAGGACACTCAGCTGAACTAAAAGATGATCCTGACAGAGCACCATAGGGTTTCAGAGCTCATCTTTGCTGACTGCTCGCTGGCTGTCCATTTCCTTCCTCTTCAAAACATGAGATTGCCCTTGCTACTGTCCAGCACCTCTCTCCCACTGTGCTTGTTTGGCTTGCTGTGCCCTCGCTGGCCACCATGGCAGGGAACACCGAGTGCCGTGTACAGTGGGGTTTTTGGACAATGACGAGAATTTTCAAAGGAAAAATGTCAAAGGGGAAAACCAACCTCCTGGGTCTCACGGGGAGGAGGAGAGGGAAAGGCAGACATGGCTGTGTAGCCTCATTTGCTGGTGCCCATGGGGATTACACCTATGCTGAGAGGGAGAGGAGAGGAGAGGAGAGGAGAGGAGAGGAGAGGCCTTCATCCCTTCCTTTGTCAAATAAGCTGAGCAGAAAAGAAAGCCTGCCTCTCTCTCTTGAGTATCTGCATCTCCCTGAAGCCCACAGAGCAAGTAGTATCCACCTACAGCTGTGGCTCCCATAATATTTGAATAGTGGTTTAGTATGAGATCTGTTTCCCAAATTATGGTGCCACTTACGGGGCTCAGTTTGGGGATCAGCAAGGACAGTGGTGTGCCTAGTAGCTTTTTCTCTTTCTTTCCCACTATCCGCAAGGTGTGATTGAACATTAAGAAATAATGTCAGTGTGTACAAACTGTGAGTTTATAACCCTTCAGTAGTTAAGAGACTGAAGAGTCAATTCCCAGAAGTAAACAGAACCACAAAATGGGGAGCTGGGGGATATCTGGAGAATGCTCTCTGTGTGGAGGAAGAGAAGATTTTAAATCCTTGTTGCCTGAGGTACACTTTCTTATATCCTTTTTTCCCCTAATGGAGAGAGAACAGGATGGTTCCGATTCCTTTCAGGATTAGAAAGAAGGGGAAAGCTTTAGGGAATTGTTTTTGGCATGAGTCTGCAGTCTGCATGGGTCAAAACGTTGTGTTTTGGTAGGAGATTAGCTCCCTTTAATTTTTTACAGTGACAAATCTGCCACCTCGATTCTTTAGAAACCATTCCTCTGATTGTGGGTGATGATTCCATGCATCCAGGTGAAATATGTTTTTTTTATTTTTCTGAGAAATCAAGAAAATTGGGGTTATAGAGCCCATAAGCACTTTGACCCCTCTTTCTTATTTTATCCACTATATACCATGACTTAATACATATGTGTAATTAAGATGTTTGTGCTCACCCTGGTATTAATGATGTAGAGGATTTGGGGTTTATTACTGAATGTATTTTAGTGACCTTCTATTTAATTTCCCAAGTATGTTTTTAATTTCTCAGGTATGTTTTTCTTTCTTCTCCCTTTATTTCTCATCTAATTTCTTATTCTCCTTATTGACTTTTCCTTAACAGAAAGTTTAACCCTATCTATATTTACTTCCCTTCCTACTCATTTCTCAGTATTCTCTTCCTCTATCTACTTTTCTATTTTCCTTTGTTTTAATCTCTGCATTTTTATACTGCTAATCTTCCAGTCTTCCTATTTTTTTTCTTTTCACATTCTTCACTTTCTCCTCTAATTCTTTCTACATTCATTTATGGTCTCCTCTTGTTTCCATTTTTTGCTCTACTTTCCTCATCTTTTTCAGCTTCTTTCCATAATTCCTGGTTTTGTTTGTCACCTTTTCATTTGTTTTAATATGTTGCCCCCCGACCACCTCTTGTATTCTTACTTGTCTGTCATTCCATATCTCCAGCTTATTTCAATGAGTACTGACCTGCATTGACCTTGAAGTCTCCTGAAAGGCTGACTGATTATTTCACAAGGACCCCAGCAATGGGTGGAGACTGCAAATACCTCTTTACATTCAGGAATGAGGGATATATGCGCCATTGTGTGCCCAAATACACATTTCATCTGTATGTCTGATGTCATCAGAAAATTATTGAGCAGCATGAAAGACACCAGAGCCATCATTTTAACAGGACTTCTTCCCCACTCCCACACCCCACTCCACCCCCCCGCAATCAGGTTTATTTTCTCAGTTGCAAGATATAAATAAAAATGTATATTAGAATACTTCCAGAATTATCCAGTTACAGCTATTGAATAAAGAACCAGATATATAGTAACAGTTAAATTGAAATTAAAATAGGCAATTGTTCTTCTTATTATCTAGAATAACTGCCCATACAAAAACTTACTTGGAACCACTACTTTACTACCTCATAATATGCAGAGTTGATTTTCATTTAACAGAAATTCTGACTCTACAGTGCTTGTTTTCCGATAGTCTTGCTGAACTCAGTGGAAATTTCTGCATTAGGTCTGATGAACTGTGCTATTTATAGTTACCAATATAACCCAGATTGATTCCAGAGGAATCAATGAGGTGATTTTAAGATAATTAGAGTTACGAAGAAAGAATGTATCTGATTGTTCTTAAGTATTGTGCTTTTGCTTATTTGGAGTAAAAGACCATTATAGTCCTAGAGTTGAGAAATTATTGCGGTTTATATAACTAGCATAAGAACCATGCAAGTGCCTCTTACGAAGGTCAAATCACCAACTAAACTGCTTATTTTATTTTTCTTTACATAATTTTCAATATTGTGTATTTGAAAATTCCAACATAGCATAAACAAAAGCATTTACAAATAAATGTTGTATCTTTCTTACTTGGTGATTTTAACATGTTTGTCTGAATTTTATTTTCTGCTTTCTTTTAGTATTTTCCTATGCAGAAGAATAAATGGTAATTAAAATGTGCAGGATGAAAAGATGGAGCAGTCAGTGCTTGTACCACCAGGACCAGACAGCTTCCAGTACTTCACTAGAGAGTCTCTTGCAGCTATTGAACAACGCATTGCTGCAGAAAAGGCTAAGAATTCTAAACAAGATCGTAAAGACAACGATGATGAAAATGGGCCAAAGCCAAACAGTGATTTGGAGGCAGGGAAAACACTTCCGTTTATATACGGCGACATACCTCCAGGAATGGTGTCTGAGCCCTTGGAAGACATGGACCCATATTACATCAATAAAAAAGTGAGTCTAATATCAATCCTGTTCGTATGCCAGCATTTGGAGTCCTTTATCATGTTCATTTCATTTCCGTGCAGTGGGTAATATAGATTGTTACTTCAGTCTGTTAATTGGCAACCATGTAGGAAAATGTCATTCTAATAATGTGGAAACAGTTGAGCATTGCTAAAAGGACTAGGTATACAATAAGAGCAGAAAATGTTTGATGCCAGTGATACATATACATGCCATCTTCCAGAAAGTTGATAAATAAATAGTTAATATCTTCTAGTTATAAAAAGTTGATTTAGCTAACGTTTTTTGTTAGAGCATATTTACCCTCGTGTGCTCTTGGCACACTGGTCCTCCTGCTTTACATAAGGAGGAATTTTGCAATAATATTATTTTTAACATTAAATTAATCAAACTGGCAATAAAAGTAACATTATGCCTGATTGTAAAATACGGTTGTACAATGGATGTAGCAGGGTATAAACAAATAGTGTGAAAATCTAGGTTTCTATTCACTGCTCTCTAAATCCTTAGCAAAGTGCCCACTGTCCTCTATGGTACAGGACAGAATCCATCATCCTTAATGGTTACTAACCTTTCATCTTCTTTTTCTTTTAATTTACACCAAAATTTATTCCTTTTATATAATTGAATTTATAACAAAGGAACATTTGTATCACAGCTAAAACATAGTATGTTGTCTTTTATTATAAGCAATATATAATACCTATACAAATGTGTGTATACGTAATAGGTGACATACTTTGCAAACTTTAAAAAAGTGACAATATATTGAAACTGAGTACGCCAACACACCACACTTTCTCTAAGGTTCTTCAGATTTAAAACTGACAGCATGAACCAATGCATAGCACACTTTGTTCAGAGAAATCCGCTTTGGCAGCAAAATCTTAGGAAATTTATGGAATCAATAGGGGAACACATGGATAAGCAGAAAATATCGTAAAGAGAGTGTAAAGCTGATTTTAAATTTTCTGGTGGAACTGGCCTTGAACAGCTCTGGAATACTTTCAGGATAATTCTGTTGCACAGCCCATATAAAGCAGAAAAGGTTCACGGTTTATAGTGATAGCTAGCTTGGATGTTACTTTAATTATTAGATACTGTGATTATGAAAACTCTATAAATATCAAGACAGGAGTTATTTTGATTTTCACAAAGTGCTGTGTTCTAAGTCTCTTTTAGCTTGCTAGATTTCATGTGATTATGAGTCCTGTTTTGGCAAGAGAGAAAATACTATGTGAAAGAACAATATTTTTATCTTTATTATTTGATGCCTCTGAAAGAGCCTTTATCTGCCATTCATGGTGTATGAAGATTTATCTTTAAATCACAGTTTGACTTTTACAAAGATAAAAGATGCGTTTCTATAAAAGCAGGCCTTGTACTAATTGTGTCTGTTTATCATACAAAATCACATGTAATTATATCCCTACGTGCCCACAGCTCATCCTGAACCTTTATAGTCAAATCAGCCGTACAGTGAAAACAGATACATGCTAGGTATAACCTTCAGGTATGCTTCTAGAGCCCTTAGAAATGGAAGAACCTTTCAGTCCCTTCACAGACGGAGCTGAAAACTTACTGCATCTGCCAGGTCTGATGATAAAGTTGCAAGAAATGGAGGGAAACCAGCTGAACATATTCAGCCAAGCTTCTGTACTATTTGAAAGGAAGAATCTTTTTATTTGCACACTAAATAACTTCTACGGGCGAGTCACATACCTGCTGGGATTCTCTTCTTTCTTAGACTTCTTCTAAGTCTACATATCCTCTCTATGCACGTGCTTTAATCTTCTACAGGACAGGAACAGAAACAGCCCTGTCAGTCAAAGACAAGACAAAAATTTCTCATCCACTACAATTCACTCTGTTTTTTCTTCCTTCCATAGGAGGAAAATAGACTTTCCAAACAGAAATCCAACATCTATTTAAATTTTACATCAGTAATTTGATTTTAAAATATCTAATTTCTAGATTTTCTTATCTAGCTGTATGTGAATTCTGGAAGGACTTTTATCCTGTTTCACTTGTCTTTTGAGAGTATTGTAGCAGTTGATGCTCCTGCAACTCTCAGAAGGAGGAATAGTTTGAGAAAAGCCTGAAGCGGAAGTGAGCATCCCCAGGAAGACATGAAGGACTCTTAATGCTCAATGCATTTACCTCTGTACCGTAAACATTTCAGCTTTCTCTTTATCCCTCTCTGAATTCCACCTTGTAAAGCCAAGGAGTCAATCAGCACACGCTATCCCAGTGTAACAGTCTGACAACTGCTGCACGATGGTTAGAGATTTTATATTTCTACCTGGGGAAGCATCTATCTGAAATTATATGTATCTAATGAAAAACACTAGAATGAAGGAAAATACTTATTTTCAAGAAAGGGTTAGGACAAGTGTATGGATTGCCAGATGCCACTGTTGCTTCAGACCTCTATTAAGATCTCTACATAAACTATACCTGATTTTCTGACAGAAAGTTTGGCTTCCAAACTTTCAAACAGGGAATAGAAATGGTTACCTACAGCACTGATCAAATGATGCTAATGAACATGGTCACAGTGTTTATTCAGGAAACCTGTACAAGAATTTTAGGAATATCTTTTTTATTCCAAATTTGGGTCATGAGTGAAATCATCCATCATTTGCCTCATATGCAAGTATTGCATCCCACTTGCTAAGGGTTTTTTTCCTATTTTTGTAGCAAGATTGAACAAGTTCACTGTATTTTTGCATGCACTGAATGTTGAAACATCATCTAGAGTGTTTTACATTTCATCTTTGGGACTTTTTTCTAAGCAATATGATTGTGCATGCCATGATTTGATACAGTTTAATACAGAATAAGGCAGGAATAAATAAATGTGTTGAGCTGGTGTGAGAGCCTTAATTTGTGCATAAGGTAGCCCTGAGATGAAAAGTTAAAAATGGGAAAACCTGTTAAGAGAAACAAAAACAGATAGGTGTGCTAGTTTTATGGTTTTGTAACTGTGCTTCTACACAAAACCTACAACCAAAGAGGACATATCCATGCCCAATATTAATCTGAAGTTGAAAGGAAAAGGAAAAAATTGACAACCACTGTTTGACAACAGAACAGTCCATTATAGCAAATTTACACACCTGAGAGTATTGCTGATTTACACTGTATCACAGATAACCTGAATGCCAGCAACTGTACCCTTGGAACATAATTATTTTATTATAATATAATACAATACCTGTTCTTATATTCTTATGATTTTATTATAATGAAATGCTGCTGACTGTGGTGGTCAATAATGCTGGTCTTTAGAACTGTGAAGTTTAGCATCCTAAATGGTTGCAATGGTCTTTTTTTTTTTTAATCCAAAATTGAGTAAAAATGCACTTGGACTTTACCCATTTTTTGCATTCCACTTCTGTGTAAGAGCAAATCTGTGTGTTCCCAGTATGTATTAGTGACTGCCTATTCATGCTCAAGCTGCCATCACAAAGGATCAAGGAGGTTCACATCACTGTCTATAGAGAAAGGATCAGCTGGAACCTCCTAAGATCCTGATCTGCAGGCATGCATCAAAATCTGGTCCACTCGGTTTCATACTTTAAGGGCTGGCTATTTTCTCTTGAACCTAGGCTGCTACATTAAAGAGGAGGGGAAGAATAAATGGAACTAAATGGGTCTTACTTCACTTTCTTCCTGCTATAATATAGATATAACATTGCTGATTGCCGCTCCATGCTGTGCCTCTTGCCAGAAGGTTGTTGACCGATGTCTGTCAGAAAAGGTGCCTCCTTTTGTCCCGGCATTTGGTAATATCAGTCCCTAATCTGATCAAACCACTAGCTCCTGGGATTCCCAGACTTGTCTTGGGTTGCAGAAACAAAAAGATTCTGTAAAATTGCTTTACTTAATTTCATTACATCCAAAAAGGTGAATGCACTAGTAATTTTAGATATTTTTTGATAGTTGTAAGTGAAAGAATTTTTAAGTGAAACGTTCTAGGAAAACAAAAAGTTAAGGTCTTGCCAGAAAACATGGTTTCAAAAGATAACCACAAAACCAAGAAATGCCAACTTCTAATATGCCACAAGTCTCTTGTTCTAGCTGCCCCTGGGGCTTTTCCTGAGAAGGAAAAGGACCCAGCTCAACAATATGTCACCTCTTGCCTTTCAGAAGGTCCTATGAGGTTTTAGATGGTGTTTAACTGTAGGAAGTGGAAATGCAATGGAGTAGCAGTCAGCCTGCTAAATGTAGCCTTCCAGAAACTACATTTAAAGCTAACTGGGAGGAAGGAGAGGAGAAATAAGGTTTTGGGAACTATTTATCCCAAGAGGCTCTCGGAGACCGTATCTTTGGTTGGTGTGGACTCTTCCTCCCTCTTAGCTGCATCTTCTCAAAATACTCCTCCTCTTTTGCCCTGCTAAGAATGCAGTTTCTGGGTTTATATCAAATATGGCAGAAGTTACAGAACTGGGATCCAGGTTACAGATGCAAAAGCGGTAAATCAGGGACTTCTTTTTAGGGATTTCTTTGAATTTATATTCATGCTCGAATACTTTGAGTGTGAGCAGGTTTCCTGCCTTTATAAAATGATTAAAGCACTTTATAAAACCTAAGAACTGAAAAGTATACATAATCCTTCATATACAAACATTAATCCTACAATTTGTTTAGAATTTATTTAGCTTTTCTCAGTGTATGTCTACTTTGTCCTGACAGCTTTGGGTACAATACTTCATGTTCATCCACACTGCCCACACATTGGCTTGCATCTGGGTTGAGACTGGAGTGAGATATAGCAGGCTTACCAGGGAGGGAAGCTGACACAGGGATTGGATATCAGCTGTTATCTGTATTTTTTAATGAAAGTTCTTCTTCAGACATAAGATACAATTTTATTTCATGTTTAAGGCTAGAAGTCAGAGGACCAACAAAGTCATTCTGAAGGCTCCAGTCACAAAGATGCTTTCAGTGAAAAATTAAAACTGAGGTAGGGAATTTATGTCTTGTTGGTTCTGCTTATGCAGGGCAGCAGAAAGTAGAACAGCTAAAATAGCAGCAGCTTCCAACTGAAACTGGAACTGTGCCAGCATGCTGTTATTTTCCATAAGGCACGTTAGAAAAGAGATGTATGTTTAATACACTTGTGTTCAAAGATTTTTAAAAAAATGTAGGTTGACTAAACGTAGGTGGTGTAGTCTTAGATACAAAATTAGTAGGGAGTGTGATTTTTAATGTGTTTTGTCAACTACCTCATAGCTACAGAAGCCGAGAGGGCGAGCTGGAGGCTTCTGAGCTGTGAGTCCTGGGGGTTGGGGACAGACCTGGGAGGGGAAACTCACCTCCCCGCTTGGGGTGTGAGGCTTTAAAACATTGTGCCAAAAAATCGTTCATCTGCTTGGTTGCTTCAGTATTTAAAATGAAAGCTTCATTAAAGGTCAGGTCATCTGCAGTTATGCTTTGAAGGTCGTTACCTGTAATCCATAACTGGAAGTGTAATTCAGAAACATTAGCTCAGGCTTTATCCCACTGTCCTCAGCTTCATATGCAGTTTCTCCATTTCTGTGCAGAAGTGGGGAAATCAAATACATATGTTACACCATTCCTACACATCTTGAGTTTGTACTCAAGACAATATAAAGTCTCACTATTAATGTCCCTTACTCTTAAGGGGTTTGGTCTGTACAGGAAGTGCAAGGTGTGCCATGGAGAGCTATGGCAGTGAGACAGCTCAATGAAGAAGTCAGCAGCTTCTGGGACAGCTGGGACTGGGACAGCTTTTCCTCAGGGCTTAATCCCTGCTTCTCCTCTGCCTTCAGTACTTGGTATCTGTCACAGACTGGTGGAAACCCTCATCTCCACATCTCTCTCCACCTGCCGGGTGCTCCTAGAGATTTGTATCTGTACTTCATGGGCCATACATACTAAGCTTCCCAAATCTAAGCAGACCGAAGAATCGTCCTTCTTGAACCTCCTTGACATATTTTCCCTGTCCACCAGCCTTCCCAGAAATAGTCTTGTAGTCCACTTGCTTACAGTCTTGAAGCGATGCTCGATGTCACGGACACCAGAAGAGACCAACATACCATTTCCCACACTTCCACTGTCACTCTAGTTTACAGCTCACTTCATCAGCAACGTAATGAAAAACAAGGAGGCTTTATCATAGTTTATTTATGAAATATACAACTCTTACAAAACAAAAAAAAAGCAATTTTGGACATTTCTCTTGGGCAGATTCTTCAATACTTTTAATTCAGTTTGAATTTAGGCTATAATCCTTGTATCATCCCTTCCACTGCATGCATTTCTTCTGAGTTACTGAGCCTTCCTTCTGCAGTGTTTTTCATTCTTTTCTGATTGATCTTGCAGTTGAAGAGCACCTTAGTGCCACAAAGAAACCTGACAGTCCACATTTCCCATGCTGTAGTGTTAATGCTGTCGCAGCCATGATGGCCTACAGTGGAAGCAAAGCAATGTTTGTAAGGTTTGCTCTCATACCATTTATATTTGGCTTACAGATTTATTTGAGAAAAATAGACAAGCTTTCAGCCTACAAAGTCTTCTACAATTCTCCAAAGTAAGGCTTGCGTGCCTTTAAGTTTATCTGAATTTGATAGGCTCTTTAGCTGTTAACATTTAAATTTAACATGTATGTTCTAGGAAAGTTTCACACCTGCAAACCACAATTGTGCAGGTTGGTCATCTGGGATGTATCTCTTGCTCTCCTCTGGTAAGGTGTATTCAGATGCCCACAGTCCTCAGAGATCTACCTAATCATGGCTAAATGTGTTACTGCTATTTCCCTCTCTCCTTAGCACAGAGACCAAGAAACAGACTAGAATAAAAAATACAAACAAATGGGTAGTCTATTAAATCAGTTTCTATAAGGTTTTCTCTTACTAACACATCATTAACATCCACAGGTAAGGTTTCCCTGCTTATGGCATTTCAAACAGGAAGGGGGAGTTTTCTATAGGAAAACATAAATAAAATTATAATTTTAGTTAATCATCTCTGCACCTTTTTTTAAAAGAAACACATCATGTAAATGTATCATATTACTATACTGAGGTTGTTTAATGAAGAAGTATTATAAAAACATTCATTAATTAAATGTTCTGTATTTAAAATTATATCTTCATATGTCAGGTACATCAGGTAAGTACTGGAAATAAGTTTTATATCAAAAATGAGTCATGGTTTTGTGTATTAGCTATTAAAAAAGTTACAAGTTTGGTGATTGGTCACTAGGAACAGTTTTAAAATGAGCATCTACAGTGAACACACACTTATAAAATGTCTTTTCTTTCTCTTTTTCAGACCTTTATAGTATTGAATAAAGGGAAGGCAATCTTCCGATTCAGTGCCACCTCTGCCCTGTACATTTTAACTCCCTTCAATCCTCTTAGAAAAATAGCTATTAAAATTTTGGTACATTCATATCCTTTTTCAATGGTGGTTCAAAATGTTACACACTGAAATCAAGAAAACTCATAACTCTCTCTATTTTATTGTAAATAAAGGTTTTCATAGGCTTTTAATTTTATTTTACAGGGAAGACATGGTAAAGTTTTATAAATACTAGAAAATATGTATATATCATATACATGCATTTTAGCTATTCTGTTGAATTTCAATACTTCTGCTGTACAAGTCTGCAGATGGATTTAAGACTCCATCTTGATCAATTTTTCAGAAAAGTTTCTTCAGATTTATTTTAACATTGAAATTTTTGCGTCCCAGATTCTTTTTTGTACTATGAAGACTATTCATAAAGTAATTACATCTTTTTTAAAAAAAAAATGCAGTTTGTGCTCACAAATTCCAGAAGAGCTCTCAGTTTTGCAAGCAATTAGGCAGATACGCAACTGCTCAGGAACAGCTAGGTCGGGGGTATATTTATATTGTCTTTTAGGGGTCCTTCTGAGGCCATCCTCAAATCAGCTTTATAGTCTGTTGCAGCAGCGTGCCTGGAAGCCTGGTTCATGCATGCTGAATCTCACATTCCCAAACCTGCCCACTTGCACCAGAAGCCTCTGCCAAATTTAATACATCGCCAGAAAGCATAGGCAGTGGTCCTGCCGGCGGTTTGCAAAGCATCTGTACGTGCAGGTGGTGGGCAGATTGGGGGACCATAGCTGATGGGATGGTGCACAAGGTAAAGTTTTAGACTAGGATGGGGGATTGGTGGCTGATGTTCATAACAGGTTGATGAGAATTTCTAGCGGGTGAGGTTTTGGTGCACTCTTCTTGCAAAACCCCAGCACTGGGAAAAGTAGTCACCAAATGAAAACTTCAGTGTGACAGTAAGACGTAGTTAAGACAGAAGCCTTAGTATGAGAGACTGCTGGCAGAATCATCTAGGTCTTTGGAAAAAGGAAGAAACAAGGCTGATTGCTGCTGACTCAGAAGACCTCTGAGCTCCCTGGAAGTTAAGGCAGTGAGAGAAGGGGAGGAAGGTATCTGGAGAGGAGTCAGGGAGCATTTGGGGACGGTAGCTAAGGGACCTGACAGAGACCTACAAACACAGTGGTAGTGATGCTGAGAAAACGCAGCCAAATACTGTCAGATTGAATCCTCTAAAGAATGCTCATCTATTCAAGTTGTAGACTCTGATTTACAATACCTTCCAACCCTGCATCTGTGCTAGTTGTGGGTAATGTTTTTTAATGGCGCACTGATTACTGCATTTGGTTTTGGTTTTAAGTTCCTCCTAATTGTATTCAAAGAGTATCCAGCTGGTCTTGATGGCAGTCAGAACAAAAGCAATTATAATAAACAATATGCAAGTCCAATGTTTTTCCTTCTATCTATTAACTGATTGTGTGATCATGTAATTTAGCTCTATTATAGAAGGAGGTTTCCTTTCACTATATGGACTGATTTCTTTTCCAACCAGCCAACTATGGGGTGGGCTATTTTTATCTTAAATATAGATGTAGGGTTTTTTTAATTTTTTTTATCTTAAACATAAGAATAGATGCATAGGTTCTTTTTTTTTCCTTTTTTTTTAATTCTGTGTAGTACAAACACTGCAAATATGAATGTGTTTAACTGAGAACCACATAATATATTCCATAATGCAGTTTAGATTTCAGCTGCTTATACAAGGTTAGCTACCTGTAAGAAAAAGATTAGGGGGTAATGTTGCTTATTATTTTCAATAATCTTCTGACTTTTATCGATAAGCTTTACTGCCTTCGTGTTTTGAAGTGGGTGTTTGGCATTTTGGCCTTTGTAACAGAACTGTCCCTTTCACTTTCCGTGTGAAAGATGTGTGTTGAGCGCCATGAAATTGGTTGGAAAACCTTCATCTGTACATCCTCCGAATTCTCCGAACCTCTGTATAGGGCGCTTTGATCACATGTGCCGACACATGGTCAGGTGTTGCTCCCCCTCCAAAGAAACAGTCTGTCTCTTCCCAGTGCTCAGACACTTTCCCTGCAATTATTCTTCCTCACTGCCGGTACCTATTGTGATACCAGATACAGGAACTGGTAACAGCATGAATTTCTCTCTCTCATGTTCTGCTGACTCACCTCCTGGTATTCTGCCCTTGGTTTTTTTTTTTCTTCCCCTTTTGCCTGCCTGACTTGAGTTAAGGTAGAGTGTGGAACTGAGGGGGCAACACAAGAGTGATGGGAGATGGCCAGACTTTGGCAATTAATAGGAAAGGATGAAAAGGTAAGAATAGGTGGGGGGTTGAGCAGACAAAAAAAGGGAGGTAGCAGTGGCTGGAGCTGCAGAGTACAAGGAGTGTTAGAAAGGAACAGGGGTATGCTCTAGAGAAAATGCGGTGCCTGCTAAGAACCCCTGTGCTAGCCTTTGGAAGCTGAAATTAGTGTTACTCAGTGTGGCCTGACTGCCAGCAGGTACCTGTGAAACCAATTGGCAACGTTTGTTTTTTCCAATCTACATCTTCCACCAAGTCCACACAGGTGATAAGAGACTTCAGCTGCTCCAGTAATTGATTAGCTTGAGGCTGTATAGTGTCTCTAACCGTACTGCTTGCCTATATGGGAAGAGTGTGAAAAAGATGGTACATTTCCATGAAGAAGTCATCATAGATCAGAATTGTTTACCTATGTGTACAGCTGAATTCTTATAGAACATAAAATAGTAAATTAAAGGAACGGTGAGGTTGTAAATCAAACACTCAAAAGGTGGAAGAAGAAGGAAAAGAGGCACAGACATTGAATGTGTCAGTTATGAGATTCCCATAAACGAAAGCACAGCCAGAGTTTAGATTTCAAAATATGTTAGCCCTTATTGAGCATCTGCTCCCTTTGAGAGCGAACAGCACTTTGGCCATGCAGCTCACAGATGTGGCGAGCTATGTACAGAGTAAGCAATGTGCAAGGATCTACCTGTGGCCTTTGTTATGAATGATACCTAGCTGTAAACACGTAATACACTGCATAGGGATAAAACCTCAGCTCTCCTAAGAGGACATGCCACTTCTTTAACTGTTTTATGAGATTACTGAAGCTGCAGCCAGGCATCTCCCAAGTTTTTCAACTACCAAAATGGATTCTCTTTATTTAAGGGAATTTCCCAGTTATATTAAGTCAGATTCTTTAGAGCTGTCTGTGGACTGTGAGGACAAGCATTGTAAGGCATTCTAACCATTTATTCTAAGTCACTGAACAATGATTTTTACTGTACAGAGCTTGTATGACAACATGATCTTCAAAATGAGTTAAGTCACTTGATGAAAGATATCACTATTCACTGCTTGGTCAGGCATTTAGACAAAGATCACCCACCTATCTATGGGAATCAGGCAGCTAAATCCTTCCCTGTGATTTGAATGTTTACTTGGAAAGATATGCTGAAGTTTGAATTGTTCAGCAGCTGTAAGCAATTATCTTAATGTTTGCACCAATTTTCTGCAAAGTTTAGGCTTAAATGTTACTTCTCTTATTCCTCTTTCACCTAGAGTGAAGGGTTGGGTTTTTGTTGGTTGGGTTCTTTTTTTGTCCGTGGCATAAAAATATACCCGAAACAACAAAATGCTATCTACTTGATCTAAAAAAAAAAAAAAAATTAAAAATCCTGGGCTTGTATATACAAGTTTATCTGTAAATGGCTTTCTTCAGTATAAGTTAGCTTCTTTGCTAGTTATGTCGATGCAACTCTTTTTAAGGAAGACATTGTTCAGAGAGATGACTAGAGGAAAAATTAGAGTTGAGTTAATCGTTTGCCATAAAGGTGTAGTGTTTTTTTTTTTTTGCTGCCATCATGTGGCCATTTTGAGTCAGGTTTTGGTCTAGTTTGGTTACTTCAGTATTTCCAAATGTTTGACTAATTGAGTTTACTTTATTGCCCCAAAAAGGGAAGGACCACACCGTTTGTAGAGCCAGTGATCTCATAAACCAAGAATATCACATTGGGTGTAATGAAGCCCCAGTGGACTGTCCCACAACCCTACCACAAGCCCCTTTGAGCTGTTAGTCTGGGTTTCATAGTCCCAGGATACCTAATTGTTCCTTGCTGGAACTCTAAATAAAAATTAATTTTCATTCTAATCTTCACCAGTTTTCCATGCTTTTCAAGCAATTGACCACAAGGTACTATTGAACCATTTTCAAATTATAGCATTGGTAGAACAAGAGATGCTTCTTTTGCTGCTAACATGTTTTGAGAGAGCCCCAAAATAATATTGGAAAATTATTCACCTTAATCTGTGAGCTCTCTGTGGATTTCTGTTTCACTGACTAAGGCATGTACTGCTAAGCTAGTGATAGGGAAACATGGAATACAGTCACTTCAGCAATTAAAAACAGTATTCTGTGTTTTGTTTTGTGTTTTTGACAGACTGGCTGTGCTGGGTGCTGGGGTGGTGTGTGCTTTCTCTACAGCTCTGACTCATGGTAAATAGGATAAACTTTTTTTACCTTGCATATGCCAACTGTTGAGTTTAGTACCAAAACTGTAGAAGTGAAAGACTAACGCTTATTCAGTCATGTCAGGTACTTAAGTAAAACAGTATTCTTCTGCAAGTTATTTTGGGTTTGGCTGTTACTCAGCTCACGTTACCTCCCAGGCATGTGAGAGCCGTCTCCTTCGCCTTTCAGTACCAGCTGAAAACAAAACATGAGGACATCAACAAATCAACATCAGAACATCAACAAATCGAGACTAATATTAAAGTTTAATGTACTAAAATGAAAACTACCAGGTTAAGCAAAATACATGTGCAATGTTTACCAACATCTAAAAGGTTTGTGTAAGTGGCAATATTCTACTGTACTTAAGATATATGGCTGATGTGATATTGTATTGATTACTACTGTGTTTTCCTTAACTATATCTACATTATTCAGCATGCTTATCATGTGCACTATTTTGACCAACTGTGTATTTATGACCATGAGTAACCCTCCGGACTGGACAAAGAATGTAGAGTAAGTTGCATATGTTATTTAAAGATATCTTTGACTGTTCCTCTAGGAGCCAGCATGCCAGTAACTGCAGTCATGTGTGCTGGCAGGAACTATCATGAGACACTACTACTATTTCCTCTCTAAACTATGTAGAAATGTTGAATAATTATTTAAATCTCCTTCTAGTAGAATGACTGGGTAGAAAAAATGAAAGTTGTTTACAGATAGTATTCTACTGAGATTCCACTAGTTTTCTCTCATCTTCATGGTTTAGCATCTACCCAGTGTTTTTACTCCTGCTTTACGCCACTGCATTAATAGCAGAACCATGGCCATCTATTTGTACACGTCAGTTAAGGACAGCATATAAGCAAAAGTATTCCTAAAGTGAGAATTCAGTGCATGCTTGCATTTGTCCCTTTTTAGAGTTAATACTAGATGGTTTAGGTGTTAGTGATTCAGACAGTTTCCAGTAACTCATGTGCTCACAACTTTCTTGGTTAATAATAGCGGATCTAGTGTTGCATACTTTTAAACTGAGTATCACAAATAAATTTTTAATATATGTCATTTATTTGATGGATTTATTTATTTTGATTTATGTACAAGATCAGGACTGCTGTACTTCAACAGCATGTCACAACTAATGCATGTAAATACACAAGTATATGTGATGAATATAATGTATTTTTGAAGAAATTGCTTATTTACTGTATTTCTTTTCCAGTTTTGAAATAAAAACCTCTTTCATTTGATCATCAGGTTTCTATCAGAATACCAATGTAAACTGTTGTTACTTATCATGATTAAATTTTCCTATATTTTACAGGTATACATTCACTGGAATTTACACATTTGAGTCACTCATAAAAATCATTGCAAGGGGCTTTTGCTTAGAAGATTTTACTTTTCTTCGAGATCCATGGAACTGGCTTGATTTCACTGTCATTACCTTTGCGTAAGTTTTTGTTTTTTGCTTTTTCTTTGAAAGTGAAGGGCAAAAAAGGGCATGAAATTAGTATCGATACATATCAATTTCGTTAAATGGAAATTCTTGTATGGATTTACTTTTGTCTAAAAAAATTTTCACATTCTAATATGCATATTTTGATATAAACACAAATACTGCAGAAGCCATTAGTACAGCTAGTATTAGAGAGGCTAATTTCATGTCCTGCATTTTTTTCTCTGAGCAGAAAAGGAGCATCCCTTTGACTTCATTCTCCAAACTTACCAATCTAGTCTAGATAAATTTTAGGCTTTCAAAGTTAAATCACTGTGATTCACTTCAGAGACATTTAATTTAACTGAAGGCTCTGAAAGCATATTAATGCAAGGCAAACTGCAGTGAAAGGTAAACCTCTGACTGTTGCTATTTAATTTTTTGCTAAAAACGCCAAAGCGGTCTTGATGAAAGACCCAAGTAAGTAGCATAAACTTTGCCTAAATTCTGAATAACTGTGATTTAATCCTACAGGTATGTAACAGAATTTGTAAACCTAGGCAATGTTTCAGCTCTTCGAACTTTCAGAGTATTGAGAGCTTTGAAAACTATTTCTGTAATCCCAGGTAAGAAGTAACTGGTGTAAGGTGTTAGGCCCCTTGTACCTCCCAACTGTTCCTTTTTATCCTGTCATTGTGTTTGTGTGTGAACTCCCCTATTACAGATATGTGACAGAGTTTGTGGACCTGGGCAATGTCTCAGCGCTGAGAACATTCAGAGTTCTCCGAGCTTTGAAAACAATATCAGTCATTCCAGGTGAGAGCTAGGTTAAACACTGAGGCTGAATTTAATTCACTGAAACAGAATTCATATTTTTTAAACATAAGTCTTATTTCTTTCCACAAAAAAGCAGGAATCGGAAGATATTAGAATTCACTGAAATCTCTGATTCATTGCTTTTTAACATGAGCTCTTTCCTTTTGAAATCAGCCTTTGAGTTTAACAGATTCTTGCATGAGACATTGCAGTACACAGCGTGTGTGGTTTGCATCGTATGATGTCAAGCTTTCTTCTCCACATTCAACGAATATCAGTAACCCTGAAGTTTTCTTACCCGTGTGTATCTTACCTACATGATGTTATGTGGTATTTGTTGTGAATATTTGTGTCTAAAAAATAGAACTGTTCGAAATGTTGACTTAGTAAGAAGATGAAGGAATAAGATAATAAAGAATAGCATGGGCATTGCATGGGGGATTTATTATCTTAAAATTCTACGATTTTCCAAACCATCTCCAGTTTTATAGCATTAAATTTTAATCCTATTTATTGTTGAACAGGCTTTTTACTACTGTCTTCTAAATCTAGTATGTTATAAAACTGATAGTAGCAAAGGTTTGGGGCAAGAGGTATTGACAAATAAAAAGAAAGAAGACATTTGTGTGAGATTCATGTACAGCATGAATAAAAAAAAGTCACTTGTTTTAGCGTTAAAACAAGTGTTTTGAAATATATGCAACTCATTCCATTCACGGTTTCAAATGAACATAAATTTCAGCTATTTATTAATTTTCACAAGTGAAAAAGTTCTTCACAAAAATGTTATTTCACAGACATTACAATCATTTATTTGGGCTTCTGCATGAAATCTATAACTTTACTGGGAGACACTGTCATTTTTATGCTTTAAAAAAGCTTTGAACATCAGAATAAAAATTCCTTTGCATTTGCAGGCTTGAAGACTATCGTGGGAGCCCTAATTCAGTCTGTGAAGAAGCTCTCGGATGTAATGATCCTGACTGTGTTTTGTCTGAGTGTATTTGCACTAATAGGGCTGCAGCTGTTCATGGGCAACTTGAGGAATAAATGCCTGCAGTGGCCTCCAGAAAATTTTACTCTGGAAACAAATATTACTTCCCAGCTAAACAGCACCATAGGTGAAAATGGTACATTGATTAATTCAACAGTGACTCCATTTGACTGGAAGGGGTATATTGAAGATGAAAGTAAGTATTGTCAGCATAATTCTGATTGAAGTGATTTGTGGCTGACCCAGTTCTTAGAAACAAGGAGGGGAAGGCATGATACATATAGTTAAGACGGAGCAGGAGACGTGTTTTCTCTCTCTCATAGATCTGCTCCAAAGGCCAGCACAGAAGAGGGAACAAGTAATGTGGTCTCTGTACTTGATACAGCTCTTTTCCTCAGTTCCCTCTGCCAAATCCACATCTCCCCCGAGCCAGAAAGAGGTCCAAAGGAGTTCTTAAAATTACTTAATAGTCTTAAACATTTTCCATTCCCATACTCCAAAGCAAGATCAGCAACAGACTGCTATGTCATTTCTGACAGATGTCAGAGAGTTCTGACATTCAGTGAGGACTCCAGTGATGGAGTCCTAAGTATTATTGCCATCTATCCATCCTTGTGCTTCACTATCCTTATCAACTTCACCACAGGCATCAAATCAAATTATTCCCTATCATTAATCACTGTCTCAGAGGTATTTAGAGACTATTCTTATGTTGCCATGCCCTGTTCTCTCCTCTTTCAGTCTTCTTTTTGTACACTAAGCAACCCAGATCAACCTTTTTCTCCTACAATTTATTTTCCAGATCTTGATCTCTCATCTGGATCCTTTCTTGTTCATAAACATCCTTCTTAAAGTGCAGTACCCATCTAGGCATTTCTCCTCCACATGAGGCATACTAAATAGAGAAGGATTATGTGGTAGCATAGTAACTTATACTTCTGTTTTATATATCCTAGGCTAGGACTTGCCATTGTTTACAATTGTAACATCGTTAAATCCTGTTCAGCTTGTGGTCTCTCTGCCTCCTGAATCTTTTACAGATTTTACCTCATTGAGTTCCCACTTTGTATTTGCACAGTTCATTATTCCAGCCTGAACAGCACCCTATTTTTTCAGACCATCTCTCCAACTGTCCTGGATCTTTTAAACTGTAATTGTTTCCTCAAACTCACCACCACCCTTATCAGATCAGTATCATTTGCAAATCTGGTAAGTGTTCTTTCATCATCTAGATTAGTTAAAACCTTGAATAGCAGCAATCTCAGACAAACCTCTTCAGAAGTTGTTTTGATGCATCTTTCCATTTTGATAATTTCTCGAAGTATGATTTTCCATCCAGTTTTGCTGACACAGAGCAGTCTGGCAAACAGAATAGATATAGAAATGCATTTCAGTACAGTTAAATGTGAGGTTACAAACCTAAGCTCCCTATCCTAAAAATCAGTGCTGCACAATTCATGTTGAGACAGGTTCACATGCTCAGCTTGAGACTGTAGTTGATGGCATACATCATCTCTAACAGCGAAAGTTACTTTTAGAGAAAAGTAAGAACTAAAGGGGAGAGACAGAAAGAAAAGGGAAGGGGAAAGGGAAAACAGACCACAGTAGCCAGCTGCGAAGAGAAGTGGTGCGGTCCCCAGGTGAGTCTCCTCCCCTGGGTATCCTTTCCAGTGCAGCAGTGATCACTCCATAATACTTTTCCCATAGCAACCGTGTATTTTTGATGAGCATCTCCTCGAACTCCCTACAGGTTGTTCCTGCTTACAGTCCTATTAGCACTAATTGGAATGCACTTTGATCAGGGTGGGTGCTGCATGCCTGGTTGGTTTTTAAGCTCGTATATGCATGTTATTAGGTCACCTAATATAAACCAAAAGCTACAACAAGGAGTAGGAAAAAGGGGGAGAAGGAGGGGTGAATCTTACACGAGAGACAATTGCTTCCCATGAGTACCTGCTGCAACAATAATGGGTTTGCAGGTGTAACGTCATGAGAATAACAGCAACATGAAAAACAGCATGAGAACAAAGGAAAAATAATGCCACAGAGGCTCTGGAAAACGTTGCCACAGCAGCTTACGTGAAAGGTTGCAGAGCTGCAACTGGGAGGCAGGATGTAGAAATGCAATTGGAAAGCCCTTAGCAATAGGGAGGCTAAGGCACCTAAGGCACTGTGGAGCAGCTAGGACTCTGACAAATTAAGGCTAAAACTCTGCAGCCAAAAAGCTAAATAGTATCCTGTTCACATAAATAAATTATTGACCAGGAAGGCAGTATTACCCCTGTATTTAGCACTACAGCAGTTGCTACTGGAATCCTATATAAAGTTCAATTTAGATAGAATGTTGAAAAATTGGAGGATGTTCAGAAAAAAGCAGAATGATTAAAGGGTTGGAAAACATGCTTTATACCAAGATAGACCAGGAGCTCAACCTACTTAGCATATCAAAGAGAAGGTTTAAGGGGTGATTTGATCACAGTTGAGAAAAACCTCATGGGGAACAGAAATTTCATCATAGACATATCTTTGATCTAGCAGGCAAAGATGTAACAGGTTCAATAGCTGCAAGTCAAAGCCAGACAAATTTCAAATAGAAGAAAGACAGCTTCTAACTGTGATCACACAGCTGATCAATGACTGAAATGGATTTCCATCTGAATTTCTCAAATCAAGATGCAATCTTTTTGTGAAAACCACTTTACTTGAACATGTGGATTCATGGAGATCCCATGCTACAGGGTATAATGAAGTCTAAGCAAAGTCTCCTAATGAAGACCTAGACCTCAAGGTCAAACTCAATTTTCTGGCTTTTTAACCAAGAATCTATAAACTCAAGCTCTGATTCCATTTGATTTCAAGAAGACCTGAAGCCCCTTGAAAAACAAAGCTGAATTGAATTAGTTGCAGAAAATACTTTATTGAATGGCTACTTGACCCTTTGGTATATTTACACAGGATTTTGTATGTATTATGAAATTTATAATGAAATTATGAGTCTTATTATGAAGTTAATAGGCTTGTCCTTGCTTACCAGCAGTTTCAAAGAGAAAAACTATCTTCTCACAGCTTCCTGCTCTCTTCTTCCAGGTGGGCAGACAGGATACAGAAATGGTTCTTAAACCAGCTGTATCACAAGGCAATAAGAAGGAACTTACCTGGAGCTCAGAGCAGTGCAATGGCACTGTCTTTTGTAGGAATTAAAAAAGTTTTTATGCCAATAGTTGTGTATACTATGCAAAAAAGGCGTGTAAGCCCTAATTTTGCCACTGAGCTAATTTTTTGAAATACTATTTAGAGAATTAATTAATTAATTAAAATTAATGCTAGATAAGTTTAAGTTTATCTTGGCAAGCTTGCCATAAGCAATTTTTTCTGGGAAATAACATCTTACTATCTATTTTGTGAAATAACAATTATTCTCAGTCATTACCCTAGGTTTACCCAAAAAACTGTAAATTCCTTTGAAGTAAAGTGCTCACCTACCAGGGATTTTTTCCCATTTCCCAATCGAATAAAGGGGAGCGAAACATATACCTTTGATGAAGTGAGGGACTTTTCACATTACTTTGGTAAAATACAATTCAGAGTTTTGCATCTAGTTAGGGACACATGCTTACACTGCTCAGCTTGTGTTGTTCTAAAAATTTTCCTATCATGATAGTATTTTGAGCATTTGTCACGGTTGTATCAGTGCACTCAGAGAAAGCCTGGGTAGCTATTCTTCCCTGTGGAGCTGGCAAGTACAGTGTGCTTACAGAGCACATCTTGTCTGAACCACAGAACTTGAACACAGACCCTATTTTAGCAGTTCAGCTCAGCTGATGCAGTACTGATCATGACTGACTGCTCCATGTAAACTATATCAAGTCAGGTTTGCGTTCTTCCCATCCAACTGCTATGTTCCAGCATGTTTTAATCATGATTAGCTGACATAATGCAGAATAAGATTTGCCTCATAGGGGTCAGCTGTGGTCAGCATCATGTCAGCTAACGTCACTATTTACAGCTGTGTTTCAGCACAGCGCAGTTCTGCATTACATACCAGCCCAGAATGACAGCGGCCGCACGCAGGCTTGTGCACTTTGCAGGGTACAGAAGATTGTACCCTGTAAGACGCAGGTGTATCATTAGATACTGAAATTGAGTCCTTCACATCAGAACAAGGTCTACATACAGCTTAAAACCAAACTTCTCCAAATGGTGAATTTTGCTCACAGGATGGAGAGATGCAGCTGGCCAGCGTACCATATCCCTCCTGCAGCAAATTAATGTGCTGAGCCAGTAGCCAGTAGCTTTTGACACCTCCTCAGACTCAGAATTCATTAGCTTCTGTAGTAACCCTGCTTGGGCAGCACAGCCACAGCCAAGTTTAAACTCAGCTGCACTGGTAGCATTTCAAACAAGATCATTTTAAGAGCATCTAACAGGCCAGTTCAACGAAAAAGAAACCCAATGGGGGGTTTAAATCTTCTCAGGAAACAAAAAAGGTACCACCCTAACTGCGAAGCTGCTGTGCTTCAGAAGTATTGGAAGCTGGGGAGGTGCTTAGGGGAGTATCATCACGTCCCTGCCCTGTCCTTACAGACATCCTGAGGCAACGCTTTTGGTTTCTGTCGGAAATGGGATACTGGGCTATGTGGTCTGACCTTGTGTAAATTGCATCCTTAAGCCTGTGACCAAATGGGAGATCGTTACTACAGGAGGAAGCTTCTCCTGCGATAATTCTTCCAAAATCAAGAGCTTAGCAACTGTAGGCATCTGCTTTGAAGGGGAAAAAAAAAAGTACTTAAGGATACGGTCAAAGTGAATCTTAATAAGCACAACGTTTTGTGCATCATCTCTTTATTCTTCTACGAATAGACAGGTCCATGTCTTTGTTGTTCAAACCATCTGAAATGTCCTTTAAATACAGGATTACTATACAGAATATGGGATGGTTGCCTACAGGGCAATTTGGTGGAACTTACCCAATTTCTCTTTCCTAAGGTGATCAATAATTTAATCATATACTCCTAAAATCCTACCTACACAAGTCGGTGACCGTTGCAGTAATTCTGTCCAAGTTAAATTTAGGTGTATACCAGGGCCTTCATACCAATCAGCAGGCTAATTGCAGTGTGCATGCACCTGTAACAGAGCCATTGGCAGCTGGGTGGTTTTTTGCAGAGCTCACATATTAGATAACTCTCACATGTGTTTGTAAGTGGCAAACTGGAACCCTTGGCAATACTGATCAGAAAGTTTGAAATAAATTATCAGTATATTTTTTTCAGATACAATTTCATTATTATAATAAATAACTGTACAATATAATTTCACAAAGTGTGATTTAGTTCAGTGATCAAACTGAAGGGAGAATCTTACATTTCATCTACATCCAGCAGCATTTGACAGGATTTTTAGTACATTTTGGCATTTTAACAGAAAGTGCTGTGAGTGATAGTACTTACTGCAATCATA